AGTCAGAAACAAAGCCAGGTCATTCTGAGGAAAACAGGATGACATAGGCAAGATCAAAACAAGTTGGAATTTAAACACACACACACGAAAAGTCCTGTCAAGTATAGAGTTTGATCATGGTAGAGAAAGAACAGCCAACAAGACAGACATGCAGGAGCTAGAAGGCTAGTGAGCACAGCTGGCTCCTACAAACCAAAGTCCAAAGTGTGACCCACATGGGCAAAAAATACCTTTTCCAGCAATTGTCCTTTGCCAGAGCTGCAGTTTCAGTCCCATCAAGAGGTCTCACCCTTGTGTGTCATCAACAGGTTCTCCATTTGGGAACATCAGTGGTGTTGATTTGAGCAACAGCCCTGGTGAGAACAGCACCATGGCTTGCATACTGAAGAGTGTGAGCGAGTTGACACAGGACCCTGCATGCATCTATCATTAAGTCAAACAGGACCCAAAACTGAGGTTCTTCATCTTTCAGGCAGGTGTTCAAGACACTAGATAGCTATTTCTGCTCTAACTTGAAGAACATTTAAGTATGACATGTGAAATGAAAAAGATCTAACAGAAGAGACTGAGAACTTCTCAATTTCAAAATACCCTACAGTCTGGCAATTGAGTTTCTTCTTACCAATGCAATGAAAAAGACTTACATTTTCTAGTCTTCCAACAGCAAAAGAGGGATTTGAGTCCAGGTTTCCCACAGGCTGTACGAGAGCCCTTACTAGTGTGCAAGTGAGTAAAGCAGACAGTGCCTTCTGCTGTGTGAATCTAGGTTTTGAAGCCATAACAAGACATTCTGGCAGTGGGGGCAGGATGTCAGTTTAATACCATCCTGCCTTCTCTCCACATGTAATGAAAGTATAGCAAAAAATAAGTGGCAAAAGCATCTTACCTTTACTATCAAATAAATGGCTACTCAGAAAGTCAGCATATGGTCTTCTTGTCTTAGCCTTGCTATAGTTCTACTTTACTTTTTTTTTTTTTTCTCTCCCAACTAAAACTGCAGTTCATCAGCTCTTCTAAAACTTGAATAGACCAAGCTGTTTTAAACACATCCTCTAGTGATTCAGCCTTAGTATCATGGCTCTGATACAAATTCTGCCTACAACTGTTAAGGAAAGACAGTTTCCTTCTTTCTTGGCTTGCCTCTACAACAGCATCCCTTCCCCCAAAAAACACTGCCTACTTCAGCCTTCTTTTCTAAGATGTGAACTAGACTTAGCTCTTAATTTCAGATCTTGAAAAAATAATCCTGTTATCTTTCAAGCAATAAACAGGTATCCTGTTTGCATCTTATCCACAGGTTCATCTAAAAAATCTCGTATACCTCCTGTGGGGACATACTTTCTATGTCACACTCGCACTTCTGACTGATCAGACACACTTCCAGCTGATTTCCCTAATAGCCTCCATTAGTTTAATTGCATGTACTAGTATTGTTAGCATTAAATCAGCATCTTTATTATTTTATTGCACTTTAGATAGGTATTTTTTTCCTTATAAAGGTAAGCAAAACTACAGCTGTCATCCTTTACAGAATCTGGAACAACAGCATGCAGTAGGGGCTGTTCCTTTGGTCTTGGCAGAGCACCAGTTCTGAGCCCTAAAGATGAACCATTGTACATGTAGGCAGAATTTTTTCATTCCTTCAAGAAAGTTTTAGAAACATAACAAAAACACGTATTTATTCATTGTTTTAACAGCCTCTCATGACTCAATATGATAAGTGACTCAAAACGAACAGCAAAGTTTTCTACAATATTTTGTAATATATCGTTAGTGTTTAAGGTCAAAAAAAGACCAACGGGTCACTTGATTTGTTCTTTTGTACCTCACAGCCCAGTAAAGGTACATTTGCATTGAGGCAATTACTTTTGTAATTAGACGACTCCCTGCAACAATTTGCATGAATCATCCTCGCTGTTAAATATATCTTCTCCTTTCTGAATTGAATTTCTCTGACTTGAGCTTCTAATCACTGATTTTGCCATTGCTTTCTCAGACTTCCCTTCACTCAGTGAAATTATTAACACTAAAAGTCACTGCTCAGTTTTCTTATTGATAAGTATGATCTATCATTTTGTCTTATTCTTTACTGCCCAGCACTTGCTCCATCTCTTTAATCTTGCTGGTGTCTCTTTCTTGTATTTAAACAACTCTCTTTCTATAAATGGCAATGCTGATTCTATATTGCCACTGCTAATAGTTTAACTGATCAAACTGCACTTGCCTTTTCACATCTGTTTAGGCCAGTGATTATGTTGTGATTAGCTGGATCTTCCTTACCATCACAATAATCTATCAAACATGAGAATCCAATCCTCATTTTACTACCTTCCACCCACTCACAGCTCAAAATAGCCTGGATCTGATAAGCTTCCAAGTGCCCTGCAAGAATGAGAAAGAACTTTTAAGCAAGGTTCAAGAAATACTCATCACAGTGGTGAAGGGGTAAAAATGAGTAACTCAAGATGTTTAGTTCATTGGATTTCTGCCGGAACAAGTTACTGAAATGGTGATTTTTGTAGAAACAGTGTTACATTGCACAACAGTGAAGTGGTAAGTTACTTTTTTAAATAGTTTTACATCCAAGTAAAGTGAAATAAAAAGATGTACAAAGTAGCACTAGGGAATTAGGCTTAATTTAAGTAGAATTATGATTCTTTTATAGCCTAGAATTTTCTGGTGAATTTTCTATGATTTAAATGGTTTCATTTTTTTTAGTTCTTATTTTACATATGCATATATGTCCTTTGGCTTTTGTACTCAAAATTTTCTGTCATTTTTCTTTAATGTTTGTTCACTGCATGAGCAAGGGAATGACATTTAGTAAAATATTAAATTCAAATTTTAGGAGATTGAAAAAGCAGTTTTCAATTCCCAAATCATGAATATCAACATAGCAGCTTGCTTCACAGTGTTAAGGTTGAGTTCAAAAGGCAGACAAAGACTCCCATCCCATGAATAAATTGAATTGAAGAAAGAAGAGGAATCATCACTGGGCTGCCAGTTCAATAATCCCATATCACACCATTGTGTTTGAAGTCAGAAAGTAGTAGTGATGTTTTTGAAATAGGTATGCACTTTTTTTACAAGATCGCTAATTATTACAATTCCAAATATGTTTGATATTTTTTATTTTAAAACAATTTGTTAAGACAAAAAATATGAACAACTTCATCATCAAGGTATTGTTTCTCATACTTTTTCAAATGTTAATCAAAAATGCACTAGTTTTGTTTTTTGTATACTTTTAGTAGTTGTATTTTCAGTCCCCTGAATTATTGTGTAGTTTCTGGTCACTATCAAACACAAGGTAACTTCATGTAGAAAGTCTGATCAAGCCGGGTGATAGAGGAGTCTCCTCAGTACAGACCAGATTTTTGCATTTTCAAATTCTCCTCACATTGGAATAAAAATAGAATTTGTTCATTTGTTTCAGTGAGTTTGTTTGTTTCTCTGTTTGTTTTATTACAGAATGGAAATGAAGCAAAAAGAATGTACCAGCAGATTTTGCAACAGCGAAGGATTTTCTAGGGATGATTCCATATTAATCCAGAATGTTAAGTTTCATAAACCTTAGTTAAATGTTTTCTTAAATGATTTCTTGCCAGTCCAGTTACTGCCTAACTGCTCACTTTGCATCCTTCTTAGAATAGGTAATGACATATCTGGGTGATCTGAAGGAGCGATGTTGTGAACTTCAGCTACATAGAGGCACAAAGGCAACTGGCTTCTCTCTTCTTAAGAAGAATGTCATGCATGTGGAAGATTCTTTTGAGGTGCATACAGGAAAGGAGAACTGGGACAATCCTAAATAAGCCCAACCTAACAGCAAATATTACTTTAATGTATTTGTCAAAAAAATATTTTTTTTCCATTTGATTTTTAGACTCCAAGGGAGGTTCCTAAGAAGAGTTTAAACTGTCTAAGTCACGAAATGTGGTTGTACCAGAATTCTGTGCTGCAGAAAGCCCCCTAGGGTTCACCTTTGCTCCCCTTACTCCTTAGTTCATGGAAAAGAGAAGTGAGCATGTAGACAGGAGGGAAAGATGGTGATATCCAGACAAGACAGTGAGCAGGATATGTGAAAGACCAAGATCTTGGGACATTTCACAGTGTCCACTTGTCTTACAGTCTAGACATAGCTTCACTTAATTTGGTTTACCTTCACAACCAAAAAAAGAAATAGGAGTACCCAGAAGAGTTATTCTGATCTGGTCTACCTCGGTTTCAGTTCCTGGAAAACCTGCAGCAGTAAAGGGAATTTGTCCTTTGCCTTTCAAAAGTGATTGCTATATTGATGTAAGAACAGATGGCAATTTCTTTTATTATAAAATAAAACTGAATAGGAGAAAATTTTATTTAGTTATTTCAATCATTTATTAAAGCACCTTTGAAAAATATGCATGTGTGTGAATGTACATATATGTTTGATTACATAAGTATATCTATATAAATATAGATTCATACAATGTATTAAATAGAATATAGAGATCTGTTCAGACACTAGTACCTTCTAGCTAAAAATATGAGGAGGAAATTTTAAAGGTTCCAACAAGTTTTTCCTTTGGAAAACTACCTATAGTACTATATTATTTGACATTGAACATTTATCTCATGGAGGAAGCATATTTATATATTTAAAATATAAACAAGATATATATTTAAATATTTTTAATCGTTCTAATGAGAATTTGTATGTTCAACTTATTTTCAGAAAAACTAACCAGCCTAAAAATCCAAAGTTTGTTGCAATATTAACTGTAGCTTCTTAAAAGTGCAGTCTGTGAATTGTAGGAATGGTAACTGAAGCTGACTTTCAGGGATGTACTGATTTTTTTCACTTCTTGCTCTAACCTGGCAACAGGCCATGTCTACTGATGGTCAGTAGTAAACACAGAAGAAATCTTAGAAGTTGCTAAACACTGTAATTGAAACATATGCAGTCAGATCAGAGTGAAAGAAATCCAACACTAATGAATTTAACCTGTGTTCATTCCAGGCTTGTAACCTTCAGTTCAGCCCCATCTCTCTGTTGCTGTGGAAGGACTTGGCATCTAGTAATTCCCTTCTTGTAATGAGCTGTACATCGCTAGCTGGGTACCCACAATTTCAAGAGAAAGGTCAAAAAGAAAAAAAGTATATTGGGAGCATCCTGCACTCTGAATTTTCAAGAAAGCATATGTTAGTGCAGAGGCCTGCTGTGCGATATGAGCTTTCAAGGAACAAGTTCAGATAGAAGATCATTGAGTCAAACCAAAAACAATTCCAAAATCACTTAGGAGGTATGCTCTTTTCATTTATTACTGTATATTTTCTTTCATCTTTCCCTATTTTCCTCTTTGTATTTATTTCTGAGAAGCATTCACTCATAAAATAATGTGTAACAGATGAGCATTGAAGAAAGCTGAATTTGTTTTTTTAAATAAATCTTGTGAGGATTCAGTAATTGCTTCAAAACTAATCACTATTAATTGATCTGTATGATACTACAAGGTTTGATACTTTCCTTTGCAATTCTCTTGTTCTGCACCTACAGTTTAGTATTTTAAGGTCTCAACACCCACACCTTTTAATTTTGCTATGAAATGTTCTGCAACTTCACTTTTCTGTTATCGCTTTGTGTTTTGCAGGCAAAGTATTGATTTAATTTACAAGCATTCCAGTTTTCTACAGCTACAGTTCTTCATTTTTCATCCTTTTTATATTAATGTCTAAATCTCTAGAAAATTGAAATGGCACACTAGTAATACCTGCTTCTACTTAATATGTCAAAAATGTAGTTTTATAACTGAGTATAAAAAAGACATTCAGATTATTGACATTTAACTGTAAAGAATATGTGACTGCCATTATTTACAAGTGGTTTATTACTTTCTTTTATGAATAGGTTTAAAGAACTTTGTTAATTATATGCTGTATGAGTGGAAAAAAAAAAAAAAGCCTCTACTTATACATTTTAAATGCCCCTTTTTCTATATAATTACCTTTAAAGTAAGATGAGCATTGCTGCTTTGCATTAAATTTATACTCTGATATGTTCTCTGAATATGCTATAAATGCAGAGGTTCTTTCTTTCTTAATAGAATTTCACTTTTCTCATCTAGAGTTTCAATATTTCAGAGGTCTTTTCATTTGATTATACATGCAAATCACTTGGGAGACCTAATACACTTATCTAAAAATTACCCATTCCTGTATAATGAATTTAACAATTTCATCTACAGCGAACAAGACTTTCAAAACTGTTTCCAGTATCTCCGAAGAATTGCTGTCTTTCTTGAAAAAAGTCCTACAGTTCCTGCCACCCAGCTCTAATGCAACCAGTACACCGTAAGGTCACAGACAGATTAATGTTTTTGTAAAATACAAGGTTTAAACTGCTTTTTTGAGTATTTCACACTTTCTGTTTTGGGGGTTCATGTGTAATGGGGCTGATTCCTGTGCATGACTGACGTACATTAAACTGAACAAAATGCCACCAGGCAAGTACTACTATCAAGGCAATGCTGTGCCTCTTCATTCTGCCTGTGCTATAAAGGGTGATACAATATTTCACCAGTTTCCCTTGCGTAACAAGATGCCCAGATGAGGCAATATGCAGGTTATGAGTAGGGTGATATATCAAGCAGCTGCTGGAAAAGTCACCAGTTTAGTAAGGAAGACGGCCTTTTGGTAAGATTGCCAAAAAGAACTAAGGCACTAAGTAGTTTTATTAAAGACTTGGGAAATTTAAATTAATCTGAAACTCTTACTGTTTCAGATTAACAGTAACAAGCACAAGCTTGTTAGATTAACAAGTAACAAGCACAAGCATAAATGTGTGATTATTACCAGTGTGCAAATGGCTGCATATAATGTAAGATTATATTTAAAACAGTCACCCATGTCTTGAGAAATATTTTCTGTCCACAGATTAGTGAACCTACACACTATGTAAGATACTCCTCAGAGTAAGCATAATTCTATCACAAATTGATGAAAGTCAAACTGTGAGAATACTATGGGTAACTACATTTACAATATGCTAAATTACAATGTGCATTTACGAAAGTGCTAAAGAGTAAAACTTGTTAGTTAATGTGATCTTGGAATTTTTTTTCAACTGAAGTACCACAGAAGTATAAAAGCATTTCAAAGGAGTCTAATACAATAGTAATATAGTAACAAAATTAAACGTGTAATATAGCTAAGGCAAGAAAAAAAAAAAAAAAAAAAAAAAAAGCCTTGGGCAGGAAATTGTTTGGGGCTCGAAATATAGGAAAACAGGAAATAATAACAATCTAATTGACATTTCTATGTATATTTTTTCTGTGACTCTCATAGAATATTGCATTATTTTTAAATTGTGTTGTTTCTTGAGTTCTCAGGTTATGTGGGTTAACTTTTTCTTCTTTCAAAAATTTATTTGGAAAAAAGAATTTTCAAATTCCATCTGTTAAAAATAGCCTTAAAACATTTTTAAAACATTTCATAAATGATATGTGTTTATTTAAAAAGCAAATCCACATGTTTTATTTTTATAGATGTATATATCACATATATATATTTATTTCATTATTTTAAGAAAAATTTATGATAGTCAGTGATTCATGATTTTGGGAAAGATGAGTTGATCACACATTTTAAAGTCAATTAGATAACTTCTTTCCACCTCAGTCTACTTGTCTCACACATTAACACTACTACAAAAGAATACAAAAAGAAGAAAATGTCCATTCTTGCCTTTTGGAAAATATGTATGTATAAAAAGATATAATATGAGGATCAGTTGTATTCCATATTCCCAATCTTATAAATTCAAACTAAACCATGAATAGGGAGAGGATAATAATGAAAAAATTCAAATCCAGGAGAGAATATTGGTTTGGTGTTCTATATTTTACTAGCTACTTACAAAATGATTTTCCTTATTGACAAAAAGTTTTAAAAAAATAGACCTTTATATCACTGTATATGCTGTTAACTGGTTCTTTTGCTTTCTCTGTAGCATATTTCAAGAGTACTGAAGCTACAGTATATGGAAATAGTTCCAGTTACTCCATGCCTCCAGCTTCCATCTATGTTCTTCGTTACTTCTCTATTATTACTTTTCTTCATGTCATATTACACACTAATGGCACAATAGCTGCTGCGCTTGTCAAATATACTGTCTTAGTAAATTGTAAGAATGCAAATTGTTCATATTTGCCTCTATAAAACAATAAATCCTTGCTTAGCAAAAACAGATTCAGTGGTTTTATCTTAGAAGTGTTCAATAAGATAAAGGTTTAGATTCTAATATATTTATGAAAACATATTATACAGGAGAACATACTCATTTTCATCAGAAAGCCTTACAGAAAGGCAAATGTTCCATTAAATAATTTGGAAAAAATGCCATCCTCAGACAGTAGTCCAGTCTACTGTCTTCAAGAACCTGTCTGCCAGCACTAGTTTCTCAATATCCTGTATAATAGAGGATTTCCCACATTCAGCTCCTTCTTCTTGTGTGAAAAGCACGTGGAACATGACTGTTTATTTTCATTTTTTAGAGGGAGCTGGACGCTTTTTTTCAATGACAGATTGACTTGCCTGCTCAACGGATCTATAATGGATGCATTGGATCCATTGTAAACACACCATCTGACTTAGCCCTACAGGCATAGACTGGTTTGTTCTGAGTCCATATGAACAGCAGAAAGCATTTCCAACTGTAATGCTCTCATTTTCAACATTTGTTATATAGTGCTGCAGGGGAGAGTTCATGGTCTTAACTCTCTTTGTCTATTATGAATCACCATAATATCATGAGCTACCCAGCTCAAAGATAGATAGATTCTGTCAAAGACAGAATCTTCATGCTTAGCAAACTGAAACCTACTTCCTGTTGTAGATTTCATGTCTTCGTTGTACTCAGAATATTCTGTGTGCCTAAAAGCTAGTGAAATCATTCTGGTAAAATGTCCCTGTCTGAGACCTTTTTTCTTACTACTCTTATCTATTTCTCTATTTATTTATAATCTTGTGTACAGGGGACAGATCTTTTCCAACACCAACCTCAATGACGGTTTCTGACGGTAATGATCCAATGTTCATCACCTTCAAATCCAATTACAACATCCATCTTCTTGTAGTTTAGTTCCCCAGCATCATTGTACTGTGAACTTACATTACTGCTCACTTACAGTAAACTCAATGTTTATAGTCTGTGAAACAAAACATAGTAATATAAAGAGTTCTTTCCCTTAGAGAAAGAACAAGACGGCAGGAGTATCACACTAGACTGGACTACCTCTACTATTCTAAAGACAGGCACAAAGGCACTGATCCTGCTACTATCTAGGGCACAAAGATACTGACCCTGCTTTTAATAAGAGATGGTGTTACAAAATTCAACACTGTTCAATAACAAATTAAGTATTTCACTTTGATATACTAAACAACTAAATTATATTTAACAATACTACGGAAAGCTTCACCTGGACCATGACCTGGGACAGAACAGAGAAATAGCATTGGACAGGGTGTTACTTTCCTCTCAGAGAATCATCAGTGAGAACTGAAGTGATGATCCCTATCCAAATCACACTTCAACAGACTTCAGCTATAACTCTTATTTTACCTAAAGGAGAAACTCCTAGACACATTACCCCCTTGACAATCTTAGAGAAGTTGCTTTTAACTTTTTTTCAAATAAAAAAATGATTTATTCAATTTGCTTCCAAAAAGCTAGGATGAGGTGGGTCTACTTTGTCTGGAGGATTAAATTTACTGTTATGAAAGAATAAAAATCATCTCTTAAATGAAGAGAGTAAAAATATGCCTTAAAATAGAAGACTGATTGCAATTGTAACTATGTAGAAATTATTGGTCTATATTAGACTCATGTGGAGCTATAACCTGAGAAGGTGCATGTTTTCCCAAGGCAATGGCTGTAGTAATTTACTTACCTGACAATTTTTTTTAGTATTCATCCTTCTCCTACTTTTCTTTTTTTTAAAGTTCTGATGTTAATAAAAAATAAAAATGAAAATAAAAATAAAAAAACATATCATTCTACCTTATAAAATATTTAATTACAACAGTTTATTTCCCATTATCATTTTGGAAGGGCTTTTTTTTTAGTAGAAAAATTATTTTTTGGTGACATCTGGTTGGGAAAAAAGGACTATTAATGGGTGAGTGAATGTCACTTGGTTGAGGGTAAAACAGATGATCCAATCATTTCTAAACGGACTACTTTCTGTTCTGAGAAAGTGCTAACAGAACTAAATAGAGATGATCGGAAAAATGAAAGAAGAGTACATATTGGATAGTTTCAACTTACCTACAGCACATTGTACTTTTGAATTTATGGCAATTTGTGATAAGCTAGGATCCCTTCACATTAAAAAGTTAAAATTATCAGTATATTCTAGAAGATATACTGGAAATTTCAACAAATGAGCTGCAGTCAGAAAGAAGTACAGAAAAGCTGTTGATATTAGAGGAAATGGTTCTATAAAAGGTAGAGAAATAGATACACCAAAAGTGTTCAGGATAGGAAAAAGTTTGATAGTATATGAGCACTTAAAAAAAATGAAAATGACAGATTCTAGTACAGAAAGACTAAAATTATTGAGGGTTAAAAAAATGTACAAGATTGAAATAGCTGGAAATTGAATCTTAAGGACTAGTAAACAAAGCAATAGCAAAGATTTCACAATTATAACCAATTAATTCAATAGGTGTTTTAAATATTTATAATACTTTAATAAACATATGTTTATTTGTGCGCTGTTTATATCATAAATTTTCTCACCTGTCCTCTCCATTACTACCTATTTGGGTCTAAGAACTCAAAGATTTGATCTAAGATCAAATTGTTTAACATATTCTCAGGGTGTCTTTGAGCACTTGTGTGGGCAGCCACACTTCCTTTCACCTCTCATGCTCCATCTAAATGTATATGAACTATATAGATAGCCACACGTTTTGCTTCCAAGAAGGTGGCCAGTTTCAAGCCATGGTAGCTGGACATTCTTTGTGTTCTAATCTTGGTATTTGTGCAGCTAACGTGTTGGTTCATTGACTCTCAGTTTACTGTTGTTGGTCAGTTGCTCATACTGTCCAGACTTTTCCAGAGTAAACAATAAAAGAGTCTCCAATGTCAAATTTCTTGTTTATGAATGTGTCCATCTATTGAACCAGAGGTTTATGCCTCCATGATATCAGATAGCTTTATGCCATTTTCTACAGAATTCTTGTAAAACGTAGTCTGAGTTAAGCAATCAATATAAAGTATTGATTTTAATCAGACAATCCGAGGAACACAAAATTAGTGGTTGTATTCAGTAGTTAAGTGTAAGATCTGGGATGTTTCTGCAAAATTCATTGGATCTCCTTGTGGCTGTGTTTTGATATTATCATTAATTAGAAAATCACCTCAGCAGATCCCTTTCTGCTGAGCTGCTCTCCCGCAGCTCCTCTCCTACTCTGTACCTGTGACCAACATTACTCCATTCCAGGTGCAGAATCCACTATTTACCCTTGCTGAATTTTAAGCTATTGCTGAATGCCCAATGCTCCAATCTATGTAGATACCTCCGCAAGGCATCTCATCCCTCCAGGGAATCAGCCACAACTCCCAGCTTAGTGTCATCAGCACTCTTGCTGAGGAAGTATTCCAGTCCTGCATCCAGATAATTTATGAAAACATTAAAGAGAATTGCCCCAGGAACCAAGCCCTGAGGAACCCGGTTATTGACAGACCACCAGCCAGATGCTGCCTCGTTCACTGTGACCCTTTGAGCTCTACCATCAAGCCTAGTATGGCATGAACCTGTTCATCTCACAATTGGATAATCTGAAAGATGCTGTGAAGAACAAGTGGAAAGAAAGAGGAGGATCTAAAAGCTAGGACCACTAAATATTTTCACAAAAAATAGCAATAATTTCTCATGTCCTTTGTATGTACAAATAGTCTTTTACTACACCTTTTAATGCTCAAATATAAATGAAATATACCTGCATTGCACAATGGTGTTTGGTGCAAAGATGTAACTTGTGTTCTGAAAGCTGTACCCTCTAGCATACCATGCTAGCCATAAGTGTATGTTTCCTTTTGCATTCATACACTGGCTACTGTTCCTGAGTTAATAAATTCCCTACAAGCTTGTGTGTCTTCTTGTCCAAAAGATATTTGTTATGCATAAAATCTGCAGAAATATGTTCATTTTCCATATGGCTACAGCACAGGAACAGGAAGCTCTGATATCACTCAAGCTTCAGTGAAGTGAGATATTTCTGCCAATGTTTCTAAAGCAAACCAAGCCTTTCATTAGCAACACTTTGTTGTTGTTCTTTTATTTTTTAATTAAAATATTAGAGTTTGAATCCCTCCCTCCCCCCCCCCCCCAACAATAAAGAGTCCAAGGGAAACATACTTGTTGAGAAATTGTAGGATTGGAGCATATTTCTTCATAAGTAATTCTGTACTTTGGTAATATATTTTAATCCAAATCACTTGAAAAACTGTCCACAATACAGTTAATGTATTTAATTACAAATAATACTGCTTTGACCTTTCTCCATCTACATGTAGACATTTCACCCTCTGGCAACTGCCTTTTTAAAATTCACTGATGACATATTTTTATTAATAGACAAAAGACAATTGATGATATCCACAGATCTAAAGCTTTTGATTTAATCATCATGTTCCCTTGATTAAAGAAACTGCTATTCTTTGGTCAATTATTCCTGCTATTATCTTGGGTTGATTTTCCTGGACCATCACACAAGTGCTAGAGAAACAAATTCTAATAAAACTGGTGCTTTTGTGTGTTATTTGAAAATGTTGATTGACCCTTATTTGTGCTGGAAAAACAAACCATTCAATAAGAAACAGCTCTCTGTATTGCATACAAGAAATCTATGGCATGGTGCCATAGATCAGTTCAGCAGAACAGACCTGTACAATCCTGTGTCTCAGAAGAGGTCAAAGGTGCCTTGGGGCTGCTCTAAATGATGCCAAGTAAACACATTTCTGAAAGAACTATATGTTAGCTGAACATTGTTGTGCACTATTTTTACTAACAGCAGGGTGTCTGTGCTATGACTGGTTGGCGTGGATCTGTCAGAAAACAGCTTGAGCTTTGTCTCAGGAAAATGTCTTTCCTCTTGGACCAGGCACTATGCAGGAAGCCCTGGCTGTGGGGCCCAAGCCTCTTAACACAGCAGCCTAGAGCACCAGA